TGGTTGTTTTAACTACCTCAAATGTGAGTAAAGCTTTTTTTGACAAAATAAGTAATTGAAAATTACTAGAATGCTCATAGTTTTGAATAAAGTTCATGTAATCTATTCGGAGTCATTTTATCAATAACCTTAACTACTGATTTTCAAAGTCTTGAAAGATTCCAGTGAACTGCTTTTACACCTGTTGGCAATATTAAGCAACTTCGTTGAACTTTGGTGTATTTCAGTCTCATTACCAGTATGTTCCTCCATGTTTTTGTCGTATTCGAGCTTTATTAGTTCAGCAATAATTCGAAGACTCTCACTTATGTCATCCATACATATGTGTCCTTTGTAGCATAACATTCATACGTAACAACATATATAATATTAAGTCAAATGTCAAGTCGGCTTTCATGCATAACTTCTATTTCACTTGATGTAGTTTATCTTTTTAATAGTTCTGAGTGACACTCTCCCTATCTGTTTGTGTAAGATAATTTTCTAAATCAATATTTCTGTAATACTACCATTCACACAGGTTTGACTTCACGTGTAAAATGTTAATTTTTTGTTGTTGTTGCAAAAATAGATTTATGATTGACACTGAAGTTGTTGTAAACACCAGTGTTCATTTTAATCTATCCAATGAAAAACAATGAAGATGTACTTATTTATGTTAAAGACTAAATTTCTATAAGATGTTTCTACCATGTTCTAATTAAAATCAATTCACATTTCGTTAAATAAGTAGCTAACATTCTGTAATTAGATTAGACATAGAATGTTAGATAAGGAGTCAGAATCAATTGACGACGAGGTTGTAAACTTAAATGAACTGCTATGTGTTATGAATGCATTTCACCACGAGCTGTGTTAGCTTGAGGCATCGGTGGCACAGCGGTAGAATGCTCGCCAACCACACAGGTGGTTCGGGGTTCGATTCCCGGTCGACACACTCCTTTACCTCGCTAAGCCAGGAATAAGACTGGTAAAGAGGGGAGGTTGGGCGGGAGGCTAACACCCCCATCCCGTAAAAATAAGTACCACTGTTACCGAAACTTCAGGCCTCTAGCTTGAAGCTCTATGTTTCACTGGAAACGTAAAGGAATATAGAAAAGTATTAGATTTTATAGGATTAGGTTGGAAAAGAGTTAGAAGTCTAAAGCCTACCTCTAATCCATGAAGTCTCTGACTGTTGGTTTCTGTCATGTAAGTAGGTGTAGGCTGTCTGGTTGGGGTCCTCGAGATGCTGGGAGCCAATAGTAGTTAGAGAGTTTTGGTAATATGATTCAAAATCGTTTTCAATGGTGGGGTACCACTGTTAGGGTTCAATCGCTGTAATCCGCATGATTCACTATATTCTCATTATTTTTTATGCAATTATTCTTTTCCCTGCATACCCCCATTTATTGTAGTTTCTTTACCTTACTTTTCTATGTTTTTATGTCAACTTGAATTGGTGCACTTTTGTGAAGTTTTACTTTGAAAATTCAGTCAGTTAATTATCAATTTTTAAATATCACGTGAGTTAACAGGATTTATAAGTTAGTACTGTCTCGTATGCTACTGACAAGATTTATCAGCAGTATATAGACGCAGATTGATAGGAAGTAGCCAAAATTGAAAACAATATTTTAAGACAGTGGTTACAAAAGTATTGTTTATTTTTCAAATCTGGATTCAGCTTGCATTGTATTCAGAAAATCAGCAGCCAATCAGAACAGTTTATTATCCGTTGACCTAGTCGACCATAAATGCTGTTAGAAATGTATAAATATGGTGTGCTTTTCCTAAATAAAAATTTCCGTTACCAAGTTTCTTGCCTTCTACCGTTGCAGTAGTTAGTACTCTTAAATATCGTTAGTACCATTCAATGGGCTGAATACAGTAAGATGCACTACAACAAACACGTTATATTCATGTAAGAGAATACAGGCCACATTCAGTTTTCTAAAGATACCTGACACTGTTTGACTAGCGAATCACAGATCGAATCTGTAGTCCATTCAAAGTTGAATTGAATGAATATGGCCTAGGTAAATGAGAAGAAAAATATACCTACTTAAAACTAACCTCACATTCAACAATTAGTGAATAAACGAGTATTCCTGTATAAGTGATGTGTCGTCCATTTGTAAAATACTGTCTGTATATGTATCTGCCATTCAATACTTGGAAAATATTTTCCTAATAAACTAGATCAATTTAAATGTCCTATCTGTATCCATTGGTTCTTCATTTTCGTCATTTATTATTGTTCTCTGCGTCAGTACAACCAATCTCATTTGGAATACTATTCAGAATGTTTTACAGGGTGCAGCAGGTCGGGTGTGAGGACAAATACTCGCCGAAGACATTGGCTAGGGTGATGTCGTGAATTGGCAGAAGTTAGAATTCATGGGCCATTGGATCGGGTCCCAGTGGCTTAATGGTATATGAGCGCCTTGTAACCAGAAGGTCCCGGGTTCGAATCCCGGTGGGTGCGTATTGCTGAAGAGTCCCAAACTAAGACGAAACAGCTGTCCAGTACTCCCGGGTTTTCCAATGGTTCTCTAACTAATGTCAGCTCATGATGAAAATCCTGAAATGTTTTACATCTTGTTTCTTAGACCTTAAAAATAAATGTTATAATCCAATTATTGCATATAAGTTAACTTATACATTATATATCTAATCTTATGGTTGTATGTTCCGTTAATCTGCATAAATGTCAGATAAATTTTTTTCTTATTGATATTGTAAATTTTCGGTCAAACAGTTTTCTTTCTTTTCTAACCAAGAATTTTCAAATACTGACTGACTGAGTTTTCAACGCAGAACTTTGCACAAATATGCAGCAGTTCATTTTGACACGTATCGTAAAGCAGCACAAACGTAGAGAGAAGAAATAAGAGAAAAGGAGACGGAAAATTCATTTTATTTCATTTTTGGATACAGTTTTATTACGATAGATGATTAACTTGTGGTATTCGTCGGTGGACTTTTCGCCATAATTTATAATTGTTATTTGATTCCATATGCTAACGTCTGGAAACAGAGTCAGCTTTTACAAATGTAAAAATGGAGATTTAGTGCTTGTGATTGAGTGTTTTACCCGTTCACAAAAATAAGGTTATTTTTATTTATAATGAATACACTAATAGGAGCCTGTTTCTGCATGTAGATTGTCAGTGGTTGACTCATTCTCAGGAGGCTATTTATTTGTGTTAGATTTTGAAGACGACAATATTGACGAGATGTTTGAAAAGTTTAAGTAACAATCTTGAAATTACGCGAACGTGTTTCCTACCGAAATACAAATTGGTATTTCAGGATGATATATATATGTAACGACAGAAGGCAAGAGTCAGGCAACAGATCGTTTATTAAGGAAAATCAACACATATTTATAGATTTTAATGTACATCATTGTAGATTATTGTTAGTAGAAAATACAGTCTTTTGATTGGTTGTTTCTCACAGAAAGTTAACCTTGCATCTCTTTGTGGCTGTGTCAGATCATCCATATGCTAACAGTATCCGCCTACGCAAAGTCTGCTGTCCATCTTTGATCTTGTTTTCACATGACTAATATTTGAGACATAAACATTGACGTCAATTACTGTCTACCAATTTGGCTAGCAGCCATCTCTCACCATATATATATATATATATATATATATAGATAGGATTTGGTTGGAAAGAAACTAAAGGTGATCAGACCAGTCTATAAATTGTCTATAAATAAATTAAGTGGAGTTTACGTTACCACGTGATACTGGATGATGTGGCTCAGAGCCTATTACAGTATCGCATTATATTCCTCCTAATTCTTAATATCTTATGTTTTGTTTGTTTTATCTTCCATTCTTCTGTCTAATTAATGTACGGACTTTGATCGTATTGTATCCATTTCCTTTTTCTCCTCTTTTTACCTTCATATGATATGTAACGTAAAATTTCTGATTACAGCACTGAGTGATTCGGGTTTGGATAACTAAGTTGACATTGATTCCATCCAGGTTGTAGATGTAATTGTTTACAAATGGTAATAAGTATGAGAACTAGGTCCTTCTTGCCGGTTTTTCTTCAGTCATCCAAAGTGAACTCGAGGTGCATTCCAGTTACTGATCACTGGAATTTAGTCAGCACTAGGGACTTAATAAAACCATAGTGATTACTGTCTAACGACCAATCAACAGAATCTAGGTACATTTCAGGTCGGAATGAGGACTATTTGGATTGGGTTGAAATAATTTGACAAACCATCTGCGTGAGGACAGAATTCAGCTGTATCATTAGACAGCTGTTTTGGCATTGAGCGTATTTGTTAAATGTATTCTCGTAATCATTTTAAAATCTAATTAAAATAGCTGTATAAAAAAGCCTTTGGAAAGACTGTCATTTGAGGTAATATCGGCAAGAATTGGATGTCAAGGTTGTGTTATGGATGCGTTAGTGACGATGATTCTACTGGTCTGTTGTTTCTCGGCCTGATTTCTGAATTTTCACCTACTTAGATAGTTATGACAAGTGATGTTAAGCTACCGCATTAGTCAGTGATCCACCATACCTAGATTGTGGTAAGGCTGAAAAAAATGGCAAAAGAGGCTTGCAAACGTTGGATGGAGATATGTATGGAAATGTAGATTATGTGTTTAGAGTCCTCAGTAAATGAAAAACTGGTGATTGATAAAGCTCATTCACATGAGTTAGAATCAATCACAGCTGTAGTGATTTTTAACACTCTTGCCAGTCGTCTAATTTTCAACTTAATTGTGTCAAACTGAACTGATATATGTACGTTAGATACTGCAAGTCAGTTTGTTTATTTGTGGACATTTTTCTAAATTCGTAGTTTTACACTTTGTATTAAGTTTCGTGAAATGTAAACTGCTAAAGCTAAGGGCATTGTAAAATTTTATATACTTTTTGATTTGTGTCATAAGGTATGTTTTATAAAAAAAATGAATAGCAACAGGATCGTAATTCTATTGCCGTGTAATTGGAAATTCTCTCCTTATTTTACTTACTAACAGATTTGTGAACCAGTCAAGAATCCAGTGCAGCATATTTCCGAAGCAGGTCAGAAACGTACTTCAACAGATTTTGAAAAATGTTATTCTTCTCCTAAAAGATTTGTGGAGAAATCCGACAGTACCGAGTATAAGGTATTTGTACGTCATTAAAATTGGTATGTACTTGTTTGTAGAAACCAAGTGACAACAATAATAATGAGAATGAATCTGAACCCGCCTTGTTTCAAACAGCAGGGTCTTTGGTAAGTTTAAACAGCTTTTGTGAATTTTCTTTATTTTGTGCGTGTCCTTAATTGTTTGCTAGGGTTAATATCATCATTCTTACTCCGTTATATGTAACGTGAAAATGTTTGCTTTAATTTTAAACATTATCATTTAGTCCAATTAATTCATCAGAATTGTGAGAAACTGTGAATAGTTTTTATTGTGTAACCTGAATCGATTGTTCTACAACAGTGATTAAGTATAATTTTAATCCTGTCACAAATGTTTTTAAAATAAAATTATTTCTACCATTCGCATATGATTACCAAACACTGATAGCACTGTGATTAGTAAAAATGATGCATTCTAAACTTATTTGTTTTAAGTGTATTACTGACTGACTGGTTTCAACTTAGAACTTCGCACACATGTGCAGCAGTTCAAGTTGCCACACTTCACTTAGCACACAGAGCCAGAGGGGAAGAAGAAAGTAAAAAGAAACGCAAAATAGAGACAGTAAACAAAGATAAGAGGCAAAAAAAATAGTAATAACTAAGAACAATATAGTTTCATTGGGTATTATATGTCACAAAGAGTGGATGCATCTGTGCCAGCCATTGAGAACGATTTCGAGTCATATCTATCACCGATTGTTTCCAGCCATTGGATTTTATCATCCCGTGGACCCCAACCAGCAAGTCTACACCTTCCTACGTGGCTCAAACTAACTGTCGTGTATTTCATTGACTAATCAAGCCACATTTTGGTTTGACTACCACTGGCTTCTTTCTACACGATCCTATGTCAGCCAATATTGCCTGTCGTCGAGAAAGGCGATGGCTAGGCATCTGTAACACATGTCCTAACCATCTCAATCGATGTTAGTTCACAACCATGTCGATTGATTTCCCCTCCTTACCTAGCACTCAATTGACGCCTAACCTCAATATTGCTCACCCTACTATACAACTTCACACGGGAGATAGAACGCAGGCACATATGATCAAAGACAGCTAGCCTGGCTTTTCATGTCTTCCATTTTCAATCCTCATGTCTCATTCACAGTGATAAATGAGGGTGGAGAGAACTGATGAGAAGTACACACCTCCTTTGGTCGACAGGTAGTCGGATATCACGTCTACGCCAGAAACGGCGGAAACTGGAATATGCGGAACGAGCCTTGTGTATCCGTGTTGAGATTTCGTCAGCGATCAACGTGCTGGCGTTGACTGATGCAACTTCCCAACTAAGTGAAGTGGTCAACACACTCTACCACTTCACTTCCTATTTCTAAGCTAGGAGTCAATGTAGCATCATCTTACATTTGGTGGGAGTGAATCGCATGCCAAACATTCGCAGATTGCTGTATTAACGAGTTCAGAAGACAATATCTGCATTTTGTCAGCGTCTTCACCCAAATGGGAGGACTATATCATCTGCACATTCTAAGTCAACAAGATTGTTTCCGGGTAACAAGTCAATCTTTGAGTTGCTGAAGTCAGTTATTTAAGTGTGCAAACATTTGAGCATAAATTATTTCTTTGAAAATCTAATGGGCATTTTTAATCAGTTACAATAAAGGTTAATAATTAAGAATCTTGAGTAATATTATTCACGGTTGTTGTACCCTCTAATGTTTCTTATACTCCACTTTGTAGACATTTTCCCTCTGTTAATTTGAACATAATAAAAACCAATGTATAACTTAGAGTGCGAGTTCTTGTATCATCATCAGAGAATCTTAGTAATTGTTTCACACCACATGGAATAATGATTGGTTTCCCTAATGTAGTGATAATCACATCCCCAGTTTGCATCTGGGTGGAAACATCTACTTAAGTAATGCTTTCCATTTGAAATCTATCCATATATAGAAAGTACTTTGAATTTATTCCTGATAAAAGTATATTCATTCTATGTAACATACTTTTCAAATTATACCTTCATATAATACACAGCTCGAAATGAAATCTCGTTATGACTTTGTTCGAGAGTCAGAAGTGTTTAAATCACGATACATTTGATGTACTTAAATTGCATGAAACCTTTTGATATGAGAAATTCTACTTAATGACTGAAATTAATACTTAGAATTTATTCGCCGATTACTAGTGCGCACAGGCTAAATCTGAGCGATCTATATGTCAAACCTCTGTTTCGTTCTCTTAGGATCGAATCCATCTTTTGGTGTCTAAGAAGTATTACGATAATGTTTTATCTTCAGTTTTGTATTTTATTAAAACTCGATTAGAACCTGTGTCTCAGTTAACCGAAATAGTTGGTCAGAATTTAGATAACACAAACTTGTTCATATCTCCGAATTTAGCTTTCCGTAAACCAAGTGACTGTCAAGCGATAGACCATCTCAATGGGACTGTTGAGAACCACCTACTCATAGCATTCAGTAGTGTCTACCGTTTAGCTTATTATAAAATTCTTTTATTATTTAAAGTTTTTTTTTTAGAGTACTTAGTTTATCATCCTTTTTAATAACATTACTTTTTTAACAAATGAAGTTGGAGCAAAATATGAAGTCAAAACAAGGTGGAAATAGCAGCAATGCATCTTTGGCGTATGGGTCCTCGAAGCGGTCATTAGGAAGTCGGTAAGTATTTACAAAATATAGTACACTTTTAGTCGTTCATCACTAGATTATTTTCTATTTGTGTGTATTATATACGGTTAAAGTGGAATAACAGCTGAGAAATATACACGTGAACAGATGGATTTGTGTTTCAAATAGCGAAAACTAAATTTTTAAGTATAATCTTTCATTTGCGGGAAGTGCATGGTCGATAATTGGTTTTTGGGAAGTTCTAATATTCATATTCGCATCTCATAATTCAGTTAAATTATGGTCTGTTTGCCGTACAATCAGTTTACTTTTACATAAAATTGATATCAAGCTTGTAATTAAGGTGATTTGCATAAACTAGGTAGAGTATGGCATACTCACACCTTGTAACTATGGTTCAGTGCTACAATTTTTCTTTTTTCATTAATGTAAGAGGACTTGAACACTATACTTCAGTGTAATTCAATAGACCACATAGATACTTTGATGTTTACCTTTTGAGTACAGTTTAATTTATATAATTATTACTAGTTAACCATACAGTTTATGAAGCTTAGTTTTTGTAGTTCACTTATCTCAAGTCAATTAACTTCAGTATTTTACATAAATTTGGAGTTGATGTTGCGTCATTCCTTCAGTACATATCTGGTAGTGACTCGATAAAGGAGGACTGACAAGTTTCGCTTTTTTTGCCTAACCGTTAGTATTGTATCTGTGTATTAGTCAACGTCTAGGAATCAGAGGTAATCCTGTCGGATTGGTGTAAGTCACTGATCATCCCAGTATACCAGAAGGGGAACAAATCTTCCTGTAATAATCGTAGGAAGATTGGCTTGACTAATATTGTATCTAAACTTTTAGGCTCAATAATCATGCGTAGATTAAGTGGTGCTCGAGAGAAACAAACACGGGAAGACCAGGTAGAGGGTATTTTGATCATGCATTCACCGTTCGACAGATTCTGGAAAATAGGCAATATTTACTGGCGTCCAACAATTGCCATATTTCAAACAATTCTTCCCACTAATAAATCTGAACAAGATAGGAACGACAAATGTACCAGGACAATGTAAGCTCTTTTCTTTTAATTATTTCAAGGATTCTTCTCAACTGGCTACAACCTGAACAAAACAAAAATATAAACTACACCAAAGGTTTTGAACATACTTCTTTCACGATGGTATTTTACCATGGCCTTGGCACTATTTTTTTTTTTTCTTTCTTTGTCTTCCTGAATAACTGTATAATAAGCTCTGTGTAGTCCGCTTTACGTTTTTCGCTATTCATTTTCAATCTTTTGTTCTCTAGTCGCATATCGACCATTTCCAAACAACTATTCATCACTCCAACTGATTAGTTGTCAACCCTTTTGATTACGTTAGACTAATCCTAATTCTTCAGACATGATCGATACTCATCCACTTTGATTTGCTTTATTATTAACTGACAATAACCTTTGACCTCTGTTTTCAATCTCTCTCTCCCTATATATATATATATATATATATATATATATATATATATATATATATATATATATATATATATATAGTTCTTTTAGGACTTGATGAACATTGTTGTAATAGCTATTGTTTACCTATTACAAGAAAATTGTTTTGCTTTTCTTGTTTTAGTCGAGGTGTTCGAAGTGGTTTTGTACCGCCGTTTGAAAAAAATTCAGACAGTCCAACAGCACCATCGTTTGATGCTAACGCAGAGTCAATATGTGATGAACGACTCAAACAGTTTGATCAAAAAGTGGTGGACATGATCATGAGTGAGGTAGGAATTTAATTTGATTCTTAGATTTACACTACCATCATAATCTGACAGTAAAATAAGATTTTATGATTACTTTAAAGTACATTTCGTGATAACCTGCCTTCTGTGATATTAGATAAATTAACTGGTTTTGATTCTCATATATTCATGCCACTGGTTATAAAATTAATGTTATGTATTTTTTTTGGCTACCAAATTTTTTCGCTGACCTCCATATTGTATTTGACCTGTAGAATACTTAACAAACCTATATATTATTTCCGTGTAGTATATTACGTCTTCATATTCATTTGATCGATTAAGAATCCAGGCAACAAAGAAATGTTGGATCCTCTAAACTATTAAACGTAAACCGATAAGGTGTTAGGTGGGGAGAAGCTTTGAGAAAGCCTGAGATAAGCAAGGTTAATATCAGTCTGCTAATTCTAGGGTTGTTGAGCATAACATTTAACACCTTGTCAGGCAATCGAACAATTCACTGAACACTATGTATCACAGACCAGCATTACACACAGAAGTTACATCCGTGTTTGTTGTGACTGATAATCGTATACTCATCCCCGTTTCTTTATCCTGCGTTAGGGTAAAAATTGATTCACTCTTGGTAGCAGCACGATCCGTAAGCCATGTGAGAGTATGAAGTCACAAAATGTGTCTTATAGTCTAGTAAACAGAAAACTTTTACCCGCTAACTAACTTTTCTATATCTTTTCCCAGCTGCAGATGATGTCTTTTTCTTAGTTTTATGAGTGACAAGCTTAGGCGGTGTGATAGAATGTCGTTGTTCGCAAAGTGTCACACTGTAAAACTGAACTATCACAAGATACCCTTCCGGAAATAATTTACCGTTCATGATCATTAGGGCATAAATAGTATCCAAAAGAAGTAACGTATCTAAAAAACTGATGCACACCTTTCTTCCCACCCCCCACTTTACTTTGAATGTGGAAGAACAAATAGAATTGTCATTTAAATTCAGTCTGATTCCGTTTCGCAGTTGTTTTTACACCACTTTTAAGACAAATGATTTCAATAAACTTAAAATTTGAGCTAAATTCTCTAAATAGATGATATAACGTTGAAACTCGTCTATGTTCGCAATATTATATCTATGTATTCATTCATCTCTAGAGGTTTCATAGTTAGAGGATTGCAATAACAAATTTGTGTAACAATCAAGCTTTCGTCAAACCAGTGTTATTGTATTTATTTTCCTAACTAACTTGACCGATTTCAAACCACTTCCACATAATAGCGTAAGATTACGTAATCCCTTCTTGTACGTCATCTAATTTCCTCCATTATTTTCTCCTTAAACTGGAATCCTAATATCGAACTTATGCTTGTAGAACAACAAAATGTATGCTCTTACTTCGTTAAAAAAGACGTTCGGCGTAGGGTTACTCTCTTCAGCGATATCATTCGCAAGCTCTGTACAACCGCATATATATAGCAAATTTTAGATAACAAATCGCATAATATAAATTGTGTTAATTGTGTAGGAACTAAAATTAAATAAATGAATTGGATGATGTAATATGATTGACGGGATTGAGTAGGATTCAAATAAAATTGAGCGGGAGTCAAGTTAACAACAGTGGTAATAAAGGGGTAGAAATTCAAAGGGGGTGGGGGAGGAAGTGATACCATTAAGAAACAAAAACCACAAAAATTACGCACCCAGTGTTAATACAGATCAGGCTCATTTTCTTAACTTATGTTCATTCTTGATTTAACCTAAGACATAAGCACCAGACTACGTGTCTTTCGCTATCATTTTTGACAGATTTAATAGACGATCCTTAAATTTGAAGTAATCATGATTCTATCAAACAATCTTTTTGCACTAAACTGTGTCGAACTTGAAATAGTTTACTCTGAGTTCTTTTAATAACACAGTCACAACACAGTCAACATATCAACCAACTTGACTTCAAACTAAACTTTCATATTTCATGATTCTCGTCGCTACTTTTGTTATGCCTAACTGTGAAACCTTTGAAGAGATAAAGATAAGCAGACTTAACGATGAATAACACCATTAACATCCACTGGTAATTATAAATACATACATACATACTTGAAGTCGAAGTATGCGCTGAAGATTCTGTCTAGTAAGACAATGAGAGCTTCGCAACTAAACCATCCAGCTCAGAGAACACAACTACAACAAAATCACTCACCTGAGCTACAAACCTTCTCCAATATATCTACATTCAACTATTTTTTTCTTCAACACTCGACCATCAGTCCCTATTAAACAAATGGCTTAGATTTTCAAGAGTTTGTTTGGAGGAATTTCATAACTTTAACGATAGTTACAGAACCATGGAAAACGAGGAGACACTGGATGGCTGATTCGTTCCAGTTAGGGTGAACACTGATGATGACTCCCAAATAGACACCGCCTACTACCTGGTTACCAAGTGTTCTTCGGGTGGTGCCGGTATATGAAGAAATATACCTTGAAATAGCACTATCATTATTAATTAAACATGCAACTTCTACAGGAATATTATTGATCTTATATCTATTCCGAAAATCTCAAGCACAAAACTGTTTTTAATGATTGGTTACATGATTTCATCATGAGCTGACATTGGTTAGAGAACCATTGGAAAACCTGGGAGTACTGGACAGCTGTTTCATCCCAGTTTGGGACTCTTCATCGGTACGCACCCACCGGGGTTCGAACACAGGACCTTCTGGTTACAAGGCGAGCTCGTATACCATTAAGCCACTGGGACCCAATCCAATGGCCCATGAATTCTAACTTCTGCCAATTCACGATATAGCGAAACCGCTAACCAATGTCTTCGGAGAGTATTTGTCCTCACCCGACCTGCTGCACCCTACTGGTCATGACTTCCCACTGGAACCCCAGGTAACTAACTACCTGAATAGGGCCAGTCACCAGTGAGCATCTCATTCATATTCAAGTATTGGTTTGTAGGGATTTGGTTGATTGGTTACAGGATTTCATCATGAGCTGACATTGGTTAGAGAACCAATGGAAAACCTGAATTCAGTCAAAGATAGTCTGTCCTACAGTCATGTTGATTGATATTTTAGACCACTGAATCATAATTGGATATTGAAGATATATCCACCCTTCTAACATCTATCTACAATATAATAATGACTAAATTTCTTGTAGTTAAATACCGATTGAAGAAAATTAAGAAACTCTAAATTTATGCTATATGTAAGAGTCACACTATTGTATAGGTGAGTGATAATTTTAAGGTCATTCACTGGAAAAGCACTTTAACTGACTCAATGTCAACAGTTTGAAAGTAATCGACACCATTTCACTTCACACTAAATACAATTTTCATATTATATAGATGCCATGGCAATGAAAATCAAATAGAAATTTAGTACGCGTTGAGGGAAGAAAATAATGCAACTAAAAACAGAAATTTACATATCCTGTGCTGAGATAGATCAGGTTCATTGTAGGTTGAGTGGCTAAACAAACATCTGTATGCAGAGTTCAGGAATTAACATGTGGATTGCTATCGCTTTTACAGTTTGAAAAAGTTCGATTCATACTTTTTCACCAAGATTCTCGCGTATTTTGTTAGTTTGTGAGTTAGCTAGTGGTCCAGATTCTTCACAAGTTAAATCCCGAACTCTGCATACAAAAGTTTCTTCAGTCATTGAATCCACAATGGACCTGATCTATCTCAACACTGGATTTAATTTTACTTTTTTCTTCCCTCATATCATACTAAAAATTTCCCCCTTATTACCACTGTTATTAACTTGACTCCCGCTCAATTTTATTTGAATCCTACTCAATCCCGTCAATCATATTACATCATCCAATTCATTTATTTAATTTTAGTTCCTACACAATTTATATTATGCAATTTGTTATCTAAAATTTGTTATATATATGCGGTTGTACAGAGCTTGCGAATGATATCGCTGAGGAGAGTTACTCTCCGCTCAACCTTTTTCCTCCTATACGATTCAATGGGGATTTTTGAAGTTGTTTATTTCGTTAACACTGTGTTTCAAGCTGTCCAATATTGAAGATAAACCTCGAACCAAAATGAGAAAATACTTTGTACTGCAAGTCTCTTCCTCCTTGCTTTGATAAATATTATTTTTCTTATTGATTTAAGAACCATATCTTTCAGTCTGTTGAACTTATAAAATCTGATGAAAGTACGCCTTTTCCCTAGACTTTTTATAAAGATTACTACGAAAGTCACATGTTAACTTCGTGAGTAACAGCCACAGCATCACTTTAACCATCAAACTGCGTTTGTCTTATTAGATGTAAGCTGAAATCTGATCAGTTCTCATACTTTTTCTTGTCTTCAAGTTCTTCTGAGACCTGGAAATGTAATACTATCAAAGTTCTCTGTTTCCAGATAATTTTTGGGTTACAAAGATTACTTCTATTACTGAATAAAGAGTAGTTGAAAGTGAATTACAAGGCTGATAAATCTAAAAGGGTATACAAATGTTATTCTTTCAATTCTTGACAATTAATTATTGGCTAATCACAGTATAATATGAATTCAAAATCGCATAAGTAGTAGCCAAATTTAGTGAAAGTGGCACTCTTATTTTACCATATTCCCCTTGATTTGTGAAAATGGTATTCTTTTGAAAACTACTCATATGAACAGAGTAATTATTTAGGGATTTGATATTGTGCTAGCATTTTTCACTTTAATTTACTTGGCTTATTGCATAAAATAAGCTACGTTGAGTATTTTTCCACAACTGTCTGTACGCATTAAAATGACGCTCTCATAGTGTTTCAATTAATGACCATGCAAAAGGCTTCCAAATAAATGGACAGTAGAATTATACATTACTATGGAATAGTGATATAGGAGTTATTAAAAAGACAATTGCAGCAAAGAAAATTTTCTTTTCGACGAAGTCATCATCTAGGTTGTACATTCGTGTATTTATATCAAATGGGTGGGAAAGTTCCAGAATAATTTCCGGTTAAGGGTCAAATTAATAAAAATTACAATTAGGAATTAGTATGCCATAATAAACAGGGGGACGGATAAAACTCAAACAAAGTAGCATTATAATAACCAAGAAGATTGACATTGTGCAATTGGGGGTTAGAAATGTACACATTTAATCCCTGATTGCATAAACAATTATTCATCGCATTAGTTTTCATCCAAACATCCTGTCTATTTTGTTATTTCTACATTTCTAACCCCCAATTGCACAATGTCAATCTTCTTGGTTATTATAATGCTACTTTGTTTGAGTTTTATCCGTCCCCCTGTTTATTATGGCATACTAATTCCTAATTGTAATTTTTATTAATTTGACCCTTAACTGGGAATTATTCTGGGACTTTCCCATCCATCTGATAAAAATACACGAATGTACAGCCTAGATGATGACTTCGTCGAAAAGAAAATTTTCTTTGCTGCAATTGTCTTTTTAATAACTCCTATGACCCAATAGTGATATAACTAAAATGTTTTTATGTTTGAACATTTCGGCTCCGTATTTATTCTTATACATTATATTATTAAATCTCACTTTAATCATTCCGAACCAGAAGTACTGAATAGGTTTAATGACTATGCGCAATAAATGTAGCATATCTACGTAAAACAAAAACATGCTGGTTATTTAGACTTAAAATAATACTGTCTTTCTTATAGATTATGGAGTCCAAAAGTTCGATTACTTGGGATGATATTGCTGGACTTGAGTTTTCCAAGAAAACATTACAAGAAATTGTAATACTTCCAATGCTCAGACCGTAAGTCTTGTGTGATTCATTCATTTCTGAAGTGTTTTACTAATGCAGCACAAAACTAAATTCCATATTGGGTTTAATATACACTTGTGAGCAATATATAATTAGTGTAAATGTGTCGACAAATTATTATCGAAATATAAATCAAAAGATTCACATGTACTCTTTCGGTAAATGCTGGAGTAAGAAAATGACTATACTTACCATTGTGGTGAGAGATGGTTGCTAGCCAAATTGGTAGACAGTAATTGACGTCAATGTTTATGTCTCAAATATTAGTCATGTGAAAACAAGGTCAAAAATGAGAAAAAAGGCTTTGCGTAGGCGGATACAGTTAGCATATGGATGATCTGACACAGCCACAAAGAGATGCAAGGTTAACTTTCTGTGAGAAACAACCAATCAAAAGACTGTATTTTCTACTAACAATAATGTACATTAAAATCTATAAATATGTGTTGATTTTCCTTAATAAACGATCTGTTGCCTGACTCTTGCCTTCTGTCGTTACACCATTAACAGTAATAGTAAAAGCCAAAGTATATTAATTGTATGATATTTACTGAAATCTCTACTTAATATCCAATCTTCACGTGAGCACACTACAGAAAGTTACGTGAATAACTCTATGTCATAGACATACCGGCTTTTTTCATAGTTTAATAGACTTTCGGAAATATGTGATAGAAAACCTACATTAATATAAAGCTAATTCCCGTGTGCACTAATTTTATTGATACCAAAAACTCAAACATTGTATTACTTGCGTAACAGGTGTTAAAAAAACACTTCCCATTTTATATACTGCTTAGTGAGGAAAGGAAAACTAACTCCAACTCTTGATGGTTTTGGCCTAAATTCATTGTTTGTCTGACTACTTTTTCATGAAGAATGTTTAACATTTCAACGTTATCAGTGTTCTGACAATTGTTGAAGTGAAAAGTGTGACTTAAAGTTCTACGACTTACTATCCCAGATCTCTCTTTTGAAATTTTGAATTAGCCCACATTTTCCTCAAGAGCCAAGCGGGGTTCACCCACTGAACTGTCAACGTCGTAACCCCTCTCCTCCTAAAATCCCCAGTTATGTATTTATGTTGGTAACTATCCAGTGGACTATTTTCATATGGTTAGGGTTGTACTAGAACACATTCATTTGAAAGTTACACAGTTCAAATCGAAAATTCGCCACGGTTTTCTTTGGAAAAGTATATTTCTGAGACACTAATAACTTCACCTTCACAATACGTTGTCTATTTATGACAACACACGTGACTTACATGACTGCGTACGACTTTCTACAAACGTTTTCGTAAAGACTGTGATATGTTAACGCTACCTTAAAGGACACCCATATCCGCTTCTCTATCTCAAGCTAAATAAGATTGTTGTAATATTTTTGAATATCACTGGATACTTATCGAGATCCTCTTTTAACTAATTTGATGCTTTTTTCAACCCAGTGATCTTTTTGTAGGACTTCGAGGACCTCCAAAAGGTTTGCTACTCTTCGGCCCGCCGGGAACCGGAAAGACTTTGATTGGTGAGTTGTTGTATACTTATTAAAATGCTATTACATCCCACCAATGAACATCTAGGCACTGGCTTCTGAGTTCAACTTACTATTCTAGGTTGCTTACATAAATTAGCAAACTTACTTTGAGGTTTTCAGTTAGGTTCAATCAGACTGCCATAAAAATTAAAATTAACACGACCTTGAGTGATAAAAACACTATTTTTTTTGTGTACCTAGGTAAATGTATCGCTTCGCAAAGCAACTCAACATTTTTCAGTATCAGCGCATCGTCACTAACTTCAAAATGGGTAAGGATTTACTGTTCATTCTATACGATTGTCTTAATTTATATATGCATACAACACTTAGCTGAAGTATCTGCCAGTGTTTATACCATCTGTAACTATTATGTAGGTAGAAGATGGAAATCGTGTCGATAAAAACTGGGTCTACCTGTTTTCTTATTTTTATTTCTATAATCAAATTTCTTCTATGGTAGGTTGGTGAAGGTGAAAAGATGGTTCGTGCACTGTTTGCGATTGCCCGTATTCACCAACCTGCGGTTATCTTCATCGACGAAGTTGATTCCCTGCTCACCCAGCGGTCTGAGACAGAACATGAGTCAAGCAGACGCATAAAGACCGAGTTCCTCGTACAGTTGGTGAGTTCTCGTGCTGAGATATTTCGTAGGCGTATTTCATTTCCTTGGCATGTATTTAGTAGTAATATCTTATCATTTTCAGGATGGGGTATCGACCGGTGAAAATGAACGCATCCTTTTCATTGGCGCCACAAACAGGTATTATTTTTTGCTCCTCATTGATTCCTCTTAATTATTATTGGATAAACACAGTTTTCATTAGTACATTGAAAAAAAAGTTTGATTTATTTTTAATGCTTTGTGACCAGTTTTACCAAGTGCAGTGACGTCACTATATGCTGTCAGAATGTTGTCGCCTACAACAAACCTATATAAGCACATCTTTTAAATCATCAAATATTCCCATTATCTTGTTGTAGTCTTTTAAATAAGTAGTAGTTTCCCCTACGTACTTGCTGATGATCTACCACTTTCTGTAATCACCTTAAAACAATGAAAATAGTGAGTAAAGCATAAGAAGCCATTGATTGTAAACTTTTTTCGAGTTCTGTAATCGCTTTTAGTCTCAAAAACAAAATAGATTGTCTTTTCAAGTGACTTCTACTCCTAAACTTATAGGCCGCAGGAATTGGATGAGGCAGCTAGACGACGATTTGTCAAGCGTCTGTATATCCCGTTACCAAACAGGAATGCACGAAAGGAAATTGTGCAGAGGTTACTGCGACAAAATCACCACACACTGAATGAAGCCGATTTCTGGGACATTGCTGATCGCGCTGATGGTAAGTATTAACTCAGTATTAATACTTACTTGGTTGTTTTTCTATACCTGTATCTTTACAGTTCTATAATTACAATATCAAATGTTTACTAACCTATCTTTTTGGTCGTAAAAGGTTATTCGGGTGCTGACATGGCGAATCTTTGTCGCGAAGCTGCGATGGGACCGATACGGTCTTTGACCATCGAAGCAATACAGCAGATAGCCTGTGAAGAGGTAAGCTTAGTTTAGTTTCATTAAAAGTGAAAGCCGTGACATGCTAAATAACATGCACTGCCACATCCATATTCTGCTACATAAACACGTTTCAGCACCTCTAAATTTATTTTTAGGTTAGACCTGTAGAACTTGCTGACTTCTATGCCGCTTTCAGGCAAGTGCGGGCCAGCGTTTCGTCCGATGATTTGGAACAATACCTGAAGTGGAACAGTCAGTATGGAAGCTTCGACGCTTAAATGCACTTAATTCGCATAAAAAGGTCAGCTGAAATTTGTTCGAAGTTGATCTGTTCAAACGTTGTTTTATTTATGTACACGCTGATGTTTTTTAAATAAAGTATTTGAATTAATAAAAGCCAGGAATCATTTACATGCACAATAAAGTGCTTGAGTGAGATTTTTGGTTTTAATCTGAGCATTCTTGTGCGGTTTGTATTGCACTGTTTGAGTTACATTGATTAACAGTGTTAGTCGATTGGGTTGCTGATGATGACGTCATGATTCTCCGTCTGCGGAACCGAGGATCATCGAGGTAGGAACGATCACCTTGTCGACCAGAAGGATTTAAATGATCTGTTGAGCTGTTTGCAAAAGTATTGGCCATTTCGTGCAGCTGTAGCTTGACAGGTCGTCTGTGCGTAGAAGTACTTGAGCTATCATCAGTGTTTCCACTGGGGTTAGTTTCATTTTGAATGTGTGGTTCCGGGTGATCATTGTGCTTTGGATTTTCTGAATCACTATTTGAAGAAAGCCTTGACTGGGGTTGTGGCCGGAGCGTGGCTAACTGACCGCGTAGTCTTGGGTCTTCAAAACGATACGGCAGCTCACTTATGGGTAGTTGCATCAACGGATATGGAATTTTAACAGACATATCCAAGGGTATGAGTCGCCAAGGTATTGGACCCTGAGGTGAAGGGATAGAAAGCTGCGTACTCGCAGCAGGCTCCGGCACGACTGTATCGTCAACCGGATCATCAGGAGCGAGTGCATCTGTTTCATTTTCTAATGAGGACTAAAATGGCGAGGAAGAGAGAAAATTTATTATAAAATAATAGCAACAATATACGATAAAGTAATCCTTTAATTTTTGGAATCTCCTAAGACAGCATACCTAGTTCACTTATCAAACTAATCAAACAACTTGCCTAATAGAATGTACAGGCCAGGGAAACTGAAATTTGAAGCACCTCATATTATACATAATTGATCTATGGGGACCACAAGCGTTAGTTGCTTGTTGTCATCATTTCCACTAATGGTTGTATGGATTAAACAGATAACTATTTGCTATTCTTATTTAATACTAACTGATATTTCCAAGCTATCACTTACAATACTTACCTGCTGTGGACTTATATTTTCACGTTGCTGTTGATCATTTAAACCCAAAGGTGACGTAGGGGGAACAACTGAATTATCTTTACGTTCATCGTTTTTAGGTTTACTTGAAGCGAGAAGAGCTGCCATCTTATCTAATTCAGAACTCACAATATCTTCCTCCTGCAATGCATTGAAAATAGGTCTCATGGGTGGCCTGATGCCAAGGGGGCAAAGTGTTTCACCTCTGGGTCTGAATCGAGGAAATCTAACGTTTCCTGGGTCCATCATACGTGGTCGTGGCAACATTGTTCGCGGCTGAGGACATCTCGGTGGCGTATCAAGTAGTGATGGAGGTCTGAATCCGTTAACTGTAGGAGCACATGCTGCGGTTGGCATAGTATGCTTTGGTGGAAATGTTATAGGACCATATGGATTGGGTGGCGGAAAACATCGTTCATCCTTCGGATAAACAATTGGGGGCATCTGCTCTCCGGGAATCATGTTGAATGGACGCATTCCTCGGACGCGTACAGGGTCATGTTCCGGTCGAAATGGGCGAGGACCAGGTGCACATATAGGAGCGAAGAGATTTGGAGCTAAGGAAGGCATACGTTGGGGGTTGAATCCAGGATTGATAAGCTCTTTGTCGGATATACTCCTAAAGAAAGTAGATAGGAAAAAAAGTTATTGGTTAACAAGAGTTCACAAAAGATGCTCAAATGTTGATCTGCTACTTCAGAGTTTGTATATCAGTTCAGCTACAAGTGCTTTAAGCTGACACAGAGATCACTGAAAATCACGCGTTTTCAGTGTAGACTTAAAAAATCACATCCTGTATAGATAAAATGTATGAGTGGAAGATACTTTGATGCTACGTTTTCATTTCGAAACTACGCGATAGTAAATGTAATAAAGTAGCAAGACATCTAATACCATTTGAATTAATTTACTAGTTAAAATAGTCAAACGGATAGAAGGGCTGAGAACTACTGACTTAGATTCGATTTAATGTTGAAAAAGAGCAATCAAAACTTGCGTAAATTCCAATGAATATACATCAACCTTATAGATGATACTAGTAAAAGCAGAAGACATGAAAAGATTAGCTGTCTTCGATCATAGGTGTCTGCGTTCTATCTCCCGCGTGAAGTGGTATAATAAGGTGAGCAATATTCAGGTTAGGCGTCGAGTGCTAGGTAAGGCGGGGAAATCAATCGACGAAACGGTGAAATTACTTCGACTGAGATGGTTAGGACATGTGCTACGTATGCCTAGTCATCGCCTTCCTCGACGAGCAATGTTAGCTGATATAGGGCCAGGCTGGAAAAGAGCTAGCGGCGGTCAAACGAAAACATGGCACCAGTCAATGAAATCCACAACAGTTAGTCTAAGCCACGTAGGAAGGTGTAGACTTCCTGGTCGGGGTCCTCGGGACGGTAAAAACCAATGGTTGGAAACAATTGGTGACATGGCTCAAAATTGTTCTCAGTGGCGCAGATGCATCCACTCCTTGTGACTTATGATTTCCAATGAAACTGTTTTGTTCTCCGTTATTACTATTCCTTTGTCTCACACCTCTGTTTACTGTCTACATTATGCATTTCCTCTACTTTCTTCTCTTGCTTTGCGTGCTACATGGATTGTGGCGACTTGAACTGCCGCACATGTGTGCAAAGTTCTATGTCGAAAACCGACCGACCGAGTAAAAGCCTTTAGACAAAGAATTGAATAATATTCTACGTGTCAGTCCACTAGACTTTCTAACAAATCGAAAACTGACCACCTGTGATTTTCCTCTCACGTCTTAACATACAAAAACAATGTTTAGAATTGATTAACATAAGGGAGTGTTATGTAAAGTTCTAGTGTAATCCTGTCTACCAGATGAAAACATTTCTTGTGTTGACAATAAACGTGATATTATATACGCGCAGCGTTCATTAGATGGATAATGTAATCAGTGTCATTTTAAATCAATGGATAACTGCATGGGATGTGAGTGACTGATGTACACACGTGACCATTAATCAAGTCACCGATGAATAAAATCATAACTTCTACTCCTTGTTTGTTTATGAAACCAAGCTAAAGTACCCTAATGATGAAGTTCTTACCTATGAGCCCATTAGTGAGGAATGGGGTGCTAAAGCCAATGGACTGTAAATCTATTTTATCGTCTAAAACTCACAACAATTGGACTTGGTTATCATGATAGCAAAAATCACAAAGCTTATGAGAAGCGTGTATAATTCTTTTAGCGTTACGTCTCATTCCCGTTAAACTTCAGACCTGTAAAAGCCAGTAACAGGAGTACGTAGGCTAAGCATGTTGTTTTCATCATATATACTCAGACATCGGTAATAAGTTTAAGATATCTTGTAGATGAACCATCGGCTAATGAGAAAAACTTATGATCAGAGCAAGTAGTATATCTACTGAGCCATGACCTACACTTTCGATACTACGTTGTTGCTCAAGACCAAGTAGGTAGTGTTTGTAGCAAGGACTCGGTTCTTGTTAGCCGATGGGTCATGCATGCTTAGACATTGACAGACAGAAAACATACAAGTCAAGCAAGAGGAGGGTATACTCTCCGACTGTTAGTTTTGGAGTCAACAATCTGCAACCTCCCAAGGACCTGCATAGATTAGTAACTTGGTTGACGACACCTAAATTTATATTTGACTTGTCATCAGAATATACAACACTACTAATCGTGGTGTACACATATAAAGTACTACTGGATGGAAAGGTTACTGTTAAGATATTTGATGATGATTCGGTTGTTAAATAATGATGAAAACAATTTGACAGTAACATAAGTTGGATGAAGATATTAGTCTCACCTTACTCCGACTAACGCACTCATTTTGACGCTGAAAAGCAATGCAAGTTAAATTTTAAACATTGATTCCCATAAAATCCACTACAATTGGGCTCTAGTGTATGTGCCTAATTAAGAACTAAGATTGACTTTACTAGGCAGTTGCTGTCGATGAATCTTGAGTGCCTAGACCTGTGACTACGCGAATGGTAAAGCAATAGACTGCTGCTCATGTAATTCTTTCGATCTTTGGAATCGACAAGAACAAAAATAGGGGTAGCAAAAAACATTGAATGAAGGCATAAAGTCAGGAGGGTTTAATTTATACATACATGAGTCACAACGTGGTCAAGCATCTCAGGAATGAATCCTTTAAGAATACATCTCCAATAAGGATATGCTCAACTTAGAAAACTAATGATACACTTTTGGGAAATAACTAATGCAACAACATAGTTTACCAGTATCATGTTAAGTAAAAAAAAAATTAAAGAATATAGTACTACAGAAAATGCGAAACAATATGTATTGTAGTATAGGAAATCACAAAACGATGCGGTATGAAATCAAGCTAGGAAACCAATGCTTGTGTGGGGCCTATATAGCGGAAGTCTGCAAGTTGTAAACCTTAGAGACCAATGCATCAGTTACTTCATGAATTGAAGCCTCGATTCGAATACCCGAGAGATCTTTCCGCTACACGCACATTAACCGACACAGCACTTCAGGGAACAAATACTGGCCAACTATCCTCAAGTCGACTTCTGATCAATTAAATCAGTTCTGGATGACAACTCTAGATGACCAATCTCCTTTGCCTAAAAGTATACCTAGAGAGCGCCCAAGAATCACCTTAAGAGAACTTTGAAATGTAGCAACAGTCAGGTTCCCCTAATCGTGTACCTACGGTTCATAGAGTAATGCAATATAATATTGATGAACATTTGCATATTTTAAAGATATTAAGTGGTTCTTACTTTATGAATGACTATAGGTTATAGTACTCTAGTCACACTACCTATTAACCAGAAAGTGGAAGGAGAAACTAGTATAAACTATGTAAAAACGAGAGCTGCTATTTTCAACATCACCACGATTTTGGCTGGAATTACTATGCGTCACTATTGTTAGCATCAATATCTAAGGCGAGACTGACTGCTTATTACACCAAGTGATTAAGAAGCAATATATGTAAACTAGATGAAAGCCAGTATAAGAGAAGTTTGGGAACTTAAGTGATGTAGGGTAGTGAAGATGGACTTTCCAATTACATCCCACATGCTAATCTCTAGTACTCACATTAAATAGTTCTGCTCTTGTTGACCACAATCACTAAATTATTTGAACAACTTGCTAACACAAATATGATACCAAAATAGCATTTTAGTACCCTTCAAAAAAGCTGGTTTACATCTGGAGAACTGTCCTTCAGAAACATGATAGTGCCCACCTGTTTATTCAGTACTTCACACCGAAGCGACAGCATCTTTACTGCACGGTAGACCAGTATAACAACATCGCTACTTGTCTTGTAAATATATGAAAAAGAAAAAATATTGAACATCCACACTGACTGAAGTGATCATATACATGTTGCACCTCGCAGGAAAGCATATGTTCTATATAAGTGGACTGAACTTTTAGACTATTGAGTCAGGTAACGGTTATGCCTGTTTATACAGTTAGTAGTGGAGAGACTATTGTAAATCAGTGAGTGAGGTAAAAAAACAGATACATCAAAATATAGTTGTATACCAACATAAACTGACTACGTATTTCTTTAGTACGCTGTGATAAACGGGTACGTAGTGAATGGTACTAGGGTATCGATTGCTATCACAGAAAGACAAGTCACAACTGTTCAGCATATTGCAGTGAGTGAACACAAGCCACAGTTGATGACCCTACCGCTGTTTCATACGAAAAATCGTGTTAGACAAGGTAGTGACACATAGAAGGTAGGTGTAACATAATCGAAGTGTGACTTGTTGATTCTTAGCCGGTAGGGCCCAGGGTTGAAATAACGCTAGATACACTCCTGCTTTTATAGTGGATGCTACCGCCTGGCATCACATTCGAAAACATTATTCCACGCAACTAAGTCCTAACTAAAACAATGTGGGGTAACAAACTTTTTGAAAAAAATATTTAATGTGCACATCCATGCCGAGTGCCTTAAATGTACACCTAAGCAATGAAGACGAGAGCATAAATCTCGAATAACAACAATAAAGTGACAAAGAAATAAACAAATCACTGATTAGCATGCCTCATTAACTCACATTTGTAGGGATTTTTGATCGAATCTGTAGTCAACATCACCATGATTGTCGTCCCACGACCGACCACTCAGAGGTGCTTGTGATAACTCAGCTTGCCATACTTGACCAGATTTAACTGAAGGGCGATCAGTGTTATGCTGATGAAAGTTGGTTGACAATAAATGTTAAGCTAACCTTAGAAGCTAACTTCTCTAACAAGCTTCGTGTGAAGTCTGTAAGAGGAGCGTGTGAGAATTTGCATTCTTCACCATGATGACAGTCATTTGTCAAGTGGAAAAACTTGCACGGGAATTCACCATGCAGATAGGAACACGAAGATTCTTTTGAGCACACACCAACAGCATAAAACTTACACAACTCATGTTTCTTCGTTGGAATGATGTCGTGAAGAAATGGGCAAGAACTTCCCTAGTACAGGTTAAACTTAAGTGAAGGTACAAACCTTGCTACATCGACCATCCATAAAATATTTACATCTCGACTGAGAAGGTTGCCTATCTCTCTTTCGCTTTTTCTTCTTCCGATTTACTTTTGAGGGTTTGCGGTCGTCCTTTCATTAACATAATAGTGACTATAGGAACTTACAATTCTTTCGCGATCGAGTGAATCAGTCTCATCTTCGTTCTCAGAGAGAAACTCAAGTATCTGCAGTTTCTCTCTCGGACGCTTATGACTACCATTTCCCAAGTCTATGTGTGATGCATTGACATCGTAGTCAACTGCTGCTACAGAAGAATCTCGATGGGGATTTCGAGTCTTCCCTCCACCACGCCGTCTCCGTTTTGAGTGCTTGTGGAGATCGACTCTGTGAAAAGACATACTTAGTGACATATGGTCATACTTTGGTGGGGCACTTTCCTCGTATTCTTGGCCAGAGTCCTCATGATCTGACCCGCTAAGGTCTTCCACTTCTCCCTCTTCGAAATCGATAGTAGCCATTAGTTGGTTACAGACAACGCTGAAATTTACAGAAATATACCTTAATAAGATGATGTACGTAAGAACTAGTACTCTATTGTAATGCCTACAAGCTGAGAATACAGAATAATACTTAGAGGGGGTGACGTACTATCAAAACAGTTCACTAAACACAATTTCATGCAACCTGGTACTTGAGACTTATTATCCTACTTGATTTGACTCTGATTTCATTACTGTAATGCTACAAACCTCATCAAAATTCTTAACTGTATTGTATTTTTTGCATTCACACAATTCTGTGCGATGCACAACTCAAGAGAGTAGTGCGATAAGTTATTTGCCGCCAATCTCCTATTGTCGAGCAAAATGACTGAGCCGAGTGAGAACAAACAAAAACAGTGTATATGCATACCATCTACTTCAATTCCATAGTATCCAAACAGACATTTCATCCACTAAATTCAGACTTATGGTCAATAAGTTTGCTTATGGAAATCATTTGTTGCTGATATTTGTGAGGACGCTACATTATTTTAATTTGTTACGAATGAGATTGCATAAATTGTCTAAGAGATACACTTTTACTCTTGTTCTAGAAGAAATGAAAATTTCATCTCGCGAAGATGGAATGCTACAGGTCTTTTAAAAGACATACATAACTATAAATTCTCGATAAAGCCTTATCAGTGCATGATATGAAGGTGACTGATGTAGTCCAGTTAGGAACATATTTTCGTAGTCCCTCTACATTGGAAGCTGGAAACGTCCATTGCAGCTTGGAACGTCGCATCATAAGTCAGGAAAATTTCTGTGTGCATTGTTTTAAAGATGTGAAGCAAATTAAAAGTAAAGAATATGCAGAGGCGGTCCCACTCTCACACCCCTACCGAGATTATCCCTCTCGATAGTATATACCATATCACGCTCTGACAAACCCTAAGAATCCCGGTAAAGTGAAATTCGTTTCAGACAGTGGAAAGGTAGTAACAGGTTTCGTGACTAGTAACTCCTTTGTTATATATATATATTCTTCCTCGATGAATAAAGTATGGTAAAGTTTTTGAAACAGATAAATGAATTAGTGACAAGAGATGGTCTCAAGCTTAAGAGGTGGACTGCCAACTCAACATCTGTGTGGGAATTCTTATCACTCTTGGTAGTCAATGAAACAACAGTTGCAGTGACTTTGTGCCACAGGTTCAGCCACAGACATCTGAGGTTTTAGTTGAACACGGAGGAGGATATTTTTAAGTTTTGTTCCGAACCATCTGAAAAATCTTTGACCAGGAGAGGACTGCTGTCTACTGTCTCATTATTGCTAGACACTCTAGCGTTAGTTGCGCCCGTATGTCTGCCTAACAAACAAATTCTGCGGTGTCCTTGTAAGTCTCGTACTGGTTTGGATCAAACTTCAAGCGTAAATCGTGTCGCCATAGGTAGAGCGGCCGAATTTTGTGCCTCAAATTAGTGCGATCACCGTGCCCAAAGAATCTAGGGAATTCGCATGCCCTTATCTAAGCGCTTTGGATGGACTTCCTGGTAACTTTGTTTACCACATATTCGGTACACCTTCTAACAACCAGTGGAGACTCATTTGGGGCATTTTTAATTCCTAGTCAATGTGGGGTGGTGTAATCACAAATGGAATGGTTCATTTTGGGCATGAGTCACTTAGGAGCACACACATACTGTCCTTCCGTCGCAGGCAGCTTAGTTTCCGCGTCTAACACATGTCCAACTTAGCAGTACCACACTGTTCATCTGACGCATATATTATTTCTGTTGTTGTGGAGTACCCAGTTCGAATGGCACCTGAAAAAACCCTACTCTCCCGTAATTTCTTTCGGATGTCATGCGGAAAGTCTGACACATTTTTACAGAGTCGGATGCAACGGACCCTTTTTGAATGCTAGTTTTCATGTAGACTGCCGTATACTTCTTAGAAAAACATCAATATTTCTTCTTCCTGTAGCCGTTTTCCTTCTTGCAAGTTGCCTTAACGCCACTTTCTGCAACATATGAATGTGGCCCTGTTGTGCGCGATGCCAATTGGACATTACAATCTCTTGCCATGACGTGGAAACATTCTTGCCAATTTCCGGAATATTGTAGCGGATATTATACCACACCTCTACTATAACACATTGGCCACTACCTCAGCTTCCAATTACTCAGATGTATCACAGCCAGTTATCAAGTTTGATTCCACTTTTCACAGGGCTCATCCTTCTTTTTACAACTTACGAACGACCTAACACAAAAGGAAACTTTAGAGAAGTTCATTATTTTATGGTTTATAAATCAGGATCATTTTTCAGGATAATTGGTTTCTATATAGTCAGTATTTCACAGTTTAATACTTTCGTTTATTTACTGTTTATTTATAAGCAATAAAATTCCATACCGTGCCCATAGTAGTTCTTAGTCTGTATATCCACTCGATACACTATTTGTGTTTATACCTGTTTTCGCTTTTGCTCAGCTTCTACTCGAAACCAAACTGATCAGTGTGCAACAATGTCACAACTTAATAAACAAGTACTTTCTATACGTAGGAACATGTTTCCAACCGTGGGGCATGCCATCATCAAAATGCCACCTAATCAGACTCAGAAAAAAATCAGGTAAGGATAATTGGCCTGTGCTGTTTAAATTCAGTAGTCCTGATGATGCTAGGAAATTCCAGTCGTCTAACAAGCTGATTAGTTCATCTACAACTTATAGTGACGCTAACTTGCTCATGACCTAACGTCATGTCAAAGACGTAGCCGTGCAAGTGTATCCAGTGCCGCAAAACACTGTCTAACCGCATAACTTCCTACAAAAGTTTCTATCGCCTTACATTTAAGTGAACCTAATGCTCCAGACGCGCACGAAAATAAAATAATCCCAAATAATAGAGCCTTTCCTAGTAAACCCGACAGTGAAGCAACTATGGTCATAGGCTTAGTTGCATCTTTAGAGTTATGCTTGTTAGACACATCATCACAATCAGCTGCTAATGCCACTACCAATGTTATGCAAAAAGCTAAGCTCGAGCATGTACCATCAAACATAACCTCTCCGAGTAGCACTCAGACTATTGTGCACATAAAACGAAATAACATAACCCTGCCATCCAGAATACCTATACTCAAACCCGCTACTCACAGGTTTCTCAGCAGCAAACGCGAAAACCCTAACTTAGCATTTCCAATCCTAACATCAGCCCAGGGAAGCTGAATAGGTTTTCATACTGCCATAAATATGATGTCAGTGAAAGGAGAGATAACCCGTCAATTCGTCCCACACTGAACAAATCTTCATCTGATAGACACAACAGACGCTATCGCTGTGGGCACCCTGAAGCTAAGTCGAAACCCTACCGGCAGGCGTACACCTACTCCAACACAACTCTATCTATGGTTAACATAGACGAAAGTGTGATCCAGGGACTTCCAAAAGAAAGAACAAGTGGGTTACGCTTTTTCCTAAAAGGTGACCTAATGACTCACCACATCCCCGAAAACCACCGGATGCAGACTACCTAAGATCATCGATGGAACAATATTTGGAAAAACAACTCAAACACACAAAATATTAGTCACAAGTGCGATGCACGTAACTTTATTCCGGCATACTCTCCACAAGAAATACCTACCTCCCTTTCATCCAATCTCAATTTTCTCAGCCAACGCGAAGTTTCAGCCTCAACATTGATGCAAACAGCACACATACTGTGGAGGCACTTATCACCAGAAGGGAGGGCGATGCATTGCAGTCACGGTATTATGAACACTTAACATCCGCCAAGGTAACCAACGGTAGCGCCTATCTCTGTGCTGATACCGGTGTAGTGCACTACCAGTAAGTTGCCACCATCTGAGTTAGCACCCATCAAACAATCTTCTCCAGACTCTATAAACCTTTAGGATAACGTTTTTAAAGATATATGAGATTTCACGTTCATCCCTAACTCTCTCTCATTCTGTCTCATCAATGCTCGCTCCTTAATCAACAAAATGTTCCTTAATTTTCAACCCATCTCTCATAATGATTACTGAAACATGGTGCACTCCTCAGATTTGTGATAACGATATTTCTATTGATAACTATTACGCATTCAGAGGTGACAGAAACCATGGCAAAAAGGGGAGGATGTCCTATGTATATCAGGTCTGATATTAAGGCCACACAGTGCTTCTACCCAGAACCCATCACAGATGACGACTCAGTTTGTGCTAATCTAAGGCTGTTTCACCCGAACTCTTATATGTTGCATCTATCATCCCCCACTTTCAACTGTTGAAGGTGATATGAAGCTTGATAACACGTTCACTTGCACCACTATACCACCTCACACGACTAAAATTATATGTGGGGACTTTAATATGCCTGATGTAGTCTGGCAACCACTTCGCTCACCAAAACGGTATGATATATTTTTGAACATAATGGAAACAAAAGACTGGCAAAAATACGTAAGGCACCTTACCAGGCTATTTAAGATTTTAGATCTAGTTTCACTAATGGTATCACCCCCACTACCCTTCGAGCAGCTAAACAGTTTCCTCGCAGCGACCACAGAGTAGATTTCCTACACTCTATATTTACACCAGTATCAGTACAACAATAAGCGCCAAAGAAGTATCACTTGGGGGTTACAGACGCGCTCAGTGGGATGTCCTGAAACCATACCTACGCACTCTAGACTGAGAGACATACTTTGCATGCAGCTGGGCTATAGAGACACATGACGTACTCTATGAGAACCTAGGATTTGCACATGACTTCATTGCTCCAGCAAGACTTATGAACAGGGGCCTAAACAGCCCTCAAAAATATCATTTCTGAATCTTCAGGTCACTCCAATATACCAGACAAGGAGGTAAGCATCGATGGGTACACACACTTTCGATGTGACAGGAACAGTGAGCACAGGGTAAGCTGCCTTATGTACTTCCTGAACGTACTTACTGTATTGCAGTTATAAGTTAGGGAACTCAATGTCATGCACGGCATCCTATGGGTTAACGTACACTTCAAAAGTGCTACACTACTAATAGGATGTATCTACAGAGCACCTGGCACCTTTAGTGACTACGAGACACAACTCATCAGTGTACTGGAGCAGGTATCCACTCTTCCATATGAGCATAAGATAATATGTGGAGACTTCGACCCACCCGAAATCAACTGGGACTTATTAACAGGCCCAACTAAATATGACAAGCTCTAAGTACACTGGACATCTTCGGCTGGAAACAAACTGTCACTATCCCTACAAGAGGTGACAACGTATGTGAATTAATATCCCGTCACGATATAAGTCTCCTCTCAATCTTAGTGGGTTCTAAGTTTTCAGTTAGTGACCACAAAAC